ATAAAAAGCAGTAGCCAAAGGCCCATCGAGTCCAACATTCTCACAGTGGCCAAAAAAACCAGGTGCCATCAGGAGGTCCACCAGTGGGGTCAGGACACTAGAAGCCCTCCCACTGTTGACCCCCTTTCCCAAGCACCAAGAAGACAGAGCATCACTTGCCCCAGAGTCCCTATCTATACCTTGTGGCTAATAGCCACTGATGGACCTCTGCTCCAGATGCTTATCTAATTCCCTTTTGAATGTTGAAGGCTAATTGTTTGTAACATCAATTTTATTAAAGGGATCATGATTGAAAACTTCCAAAACAGCAAAAACAAAACTATTACAATCATGTTGGTGCTCTAGAAAATGAGACACGGGTGGAGAATCCATCCTAATTGCCTTTGTTGAGACTCGTAGGCAACATTTAGAACATGGACATTTTATGAGGTACACAACTCTTTTCGTGTTTTAGTTGTATTTTAACAACCTGGTATATTACTAACCACATTCCAATGCCGCATCATAATTTTCTTAATACACCATATATTGGATATAGGAAGACTAAGAGTGCAAGAGATCATCTCATTAGAACGGACATTTCCTTATGCAATTTTTCCGACATCAGCAACACCCTGGCGGTCATCGTTGCGGCAGGTGCTCCGTATGACCGCTAGTTTGGGGAACAGACAGTGTAGACTTTCCAGATTTAAAGGTACATATACAGCTAAAACATTAGGCAAATTGTGCCGCGAAAAGAGATGTGTACCCTTGCACTGGCTGCTCACAGGCGGCACAGGAGTCCTGGAGGCCTTATGTTTGACACCCCTGCCTTAGAGCTTCAGCGTCGGGACTGAGAGACCCCACCCTCCGTAGCAGCCCTTCTCTCTAGGGGAACCGCGGCTCCTGACTAATGAGACAGTCCCAGCTCCCTTCAGCAGAGAAGACAGGAGAAGCCCCAATTCGGAGCACCAGCAGCCGCCCGCGGTGAGAAGCGCTTTGGCGAGGGGAGGGGGGTGTTGTCCATCTAACTGCTTTTCCCGTGCCCCCCTCCCCTCGAGGGAGAACGAAAGGAAGCCTCCAGGGGCCCCAACCCCGGGAATGAAGGAGCATATAGCCTTGGGAAAAGTGCAGAAAAGGGCAACTCGAATGATAAAAGGGTTGGAAGACTTTCCTTATGAAGAAAAGTTAAAACGCTTGGGGCTCTTTAGCTTGGAGAAACGACCGCTGAGGGGTGACACGATCGAGGTTTATAAGTTTATGAATGGGATAGAGCAGGCCGAGAAAGAAGTCCTTTTTCTCCCTTCCTTACAATAGAAGAACTCCTTGTGGGCATTCAGTGAAACTGCTGAGCGGTGGGGTTAGAATGGATAAAAGGAAGTCCTTCTTCACCCAAAGAGTGATTCACACATGGAATTCACTGCCACAGGAAGTGGTGGCGGCTACAAGCATGGACGGCTTCAAGAGGGAATTAGATAAGCATCTGGAGCAGAGATTCATCAGGTGGCAAAGGATGAGATGGTTAGACAGTGTCATGGATGCAACGAACATGAAATTGAGCCAACTTCAGAGGACGGCGGAAGACAGGAGGGCCTGGCGTGATCTGGTCCATGGGGTCACGGAGAGTCGGACTCGACTATGCGACTGAACAACAACAACAGTAGAAGAGCATCGCGGCCGTCTCTTCGGGCCAGAAGACTGAAGGGTTTCACAGCCATAGGATTGAAAGCAATGGGGCAGAGCAAAATCCATTCCAACTGCACCCCCTGAATCTCTCCAAGACAAACCTTACCTAAGTAGGGTGCACAGTGGCTTCTTTCCATTCTATGTAAAAAAGGACACGATCCAGAATGTGATGCCGATACTGATTGAAAGGAAGAAATTGCAAGTAGATAAATAGGTACCATTTCAGTGGGAAGCTAACAGTGTTCCGTGCGCCTTGGTGTTTAGTCATGCCAGCCACATGACCACCGAAACGTCTTCGGACAGCGCTGGCTCTTCGGCTTGGAAACGGAGATTAGCACCGCAACCCTAGAGTTGGATTCGACTGGCTTTTGAGCAAGGGAACCTTTACTTTTTATAGATAGGGACTCCAGGGCAAGTGATGCCTTGTCTTCTTGGTGCTTGGGGGGGGGGGCAACAGTGGGAGAGCTCCTAGTGTCCTGGCCCCACTGCTGGACCTCCTGATGGCCCCTGGTCTTTTTGGCCACCGTGTGACTCAGAGTGTTGGACTGGATGGGCCACAGGCCTGATCCAACACTGGCTTCCCTCATGTTCTTGTGTTCTCTCAGTACCCCACTGCCCCCACAGGCCAAAGGAAGGCATCAGAGCCGTCGGCCGACGAAAGTGCCGCAGGAGCCAATCTGAGGCTGGGGGGGGTCCCCTTCCTTCCTTCCGCACCTCCAGCAATTCCCCCCATTTAGTCACTCCGCCCCTCCCCTTGTGCATTCCAGCCTCTTTTCACTTTGCAGTGGCGAGAGCCCCCCCCCCGTTTGCGGAACGTCGACCCTCCCCTCTTCCCGCCCCCTTCGGTTGGGTTCCTGCTGGGGGGGGGCTCCAGGGGGCGACGAGTCTGCGCTCCTCAGGAGAAAAGAGGCGGGAGGTATTATTGCGCCCCTTCCTCCCAGGGGTCCTCCGGGGTGCAGGCGGCATCAGCCCCACAGCGCAGGGGGTCGGGCAAGCGAGCTGCAAGGGCATTGGGGGGGAGGGGGTCTCCCCATAGGGCAGCGGTGGGGGAGGGGGGAGGCGCCAGGCTGCAAAAGGGGGGGAGGATTCTGGGTTGCCCCCGAGGAGCCGCCGCCATTTTGGATCCGCCTTTCCCACGCGGAGGCACCCCAAAAAGGGATGTACTAAAAGGAAGGACAGGATTGCCCATTGGAAACAGTGGGAGAGACTTGAAGGCCCATCATCTGTGGAAAAGGTGGTAGCATGACAGTATAACCAAACACATGAATCTAAACCATATACAGCTCTTAAACTATAGTAAAACTAATTTCAGAGAGTACAGTCTTCACAGCAGAAATGTGTTACAGCTAAACGATAAATGTTTTGCCAATGTCTCTCCAAAATTTTTCCAAAGCACAAGATGAGCCTCCTGTGCACACCTCATATGTTCAGAAATGGACTGCTTGCAATCATTTAATTTCTCATTAAACTGATTTACTGAACACACTAGCTCTGTTCAACTTTAGTTTATTCCTGCTTTGTTTAAAATTCGGGAAGTGCTGGGGAGGAGGGGACAGGACACTAATGGCTGCACTTGTGCAAATGGAGTGACAGCTGATTTATTACTAAGGTTATAAAGGAGAAGTATTAAGTGTGTTCCATTCGGCTTGGCAAAAGACATCCTGCACAATGTCCAACAAAACCCTGCAGGGTGTGCCAGGAGTGTTCAGGAACTGGAATGACAGGGCCACGGAGTGGAATGACAGCCCCAGGGGGGAGCAGGAGTGTTCAGGCATTGGGTTGACACAGCCACGGAGTGGAATGACGGCCCCAGGGTGTGCCAGGAGTGTTCAGGAGCTGGAATGACAGGGCCACGGAGTGGATTGACAGCCCGAGGTTGGAGCAGGAGTGTTAGGAACTGGGATGACATGGCCACGGATTGGAATGACAGCCCCAGGGTGTGCCAGGAGCAGTGTTCCCTCTAAGCTGAATTAGTGTGAGCTAGCTCGCAGTTTTTTAGCTTCCAGCTCACAGATTCTGGTCTTAGCTCAGGAAGGATGGCTCCCGAGCAAACTGATTTACGCAGTCCCCAAATCGCTCGCTCACAACTTTAAGGCCCGTAGCTCACAAAGTAGAATTTTTGCTCACAAGACTCCACAGCTTCGAGGGAACATTGGCCAGGAGTGTTCAGGAACTGGAATGACAGGGCCAAGAGTGGAATGACAGCCCCAGGGTGTGCCAGGAGTATTCAGGCACTGGAATGACAGGGCCACGGATACGAATGACAGCCCCAGGGTGTGCCAGGAGTGTTCAGGAACTGGAACGACAGGGCCAAGAGTGGAATGACAGCCCCAGGGTGTGCCAGGAGTGTTCAGGAACTGGAATGACAGGGCCACGGATTGGAATGACAGCCCCAGGGTGGAGCAGCAGTGTTCAGGCACTGGAATGACAGGGCCAAGAGTGGAATGACAGCCTCAGGGTGTGCCAGGAGTGTTCAGGAACTGGAATGACAGGGCCACGGAGTGGAATGACAGCCCTAGGGTGTGCCAGGAATGTTCAGGCACTGGAATAACAGTGCCAAGAGTGGAATGACAGCCTAGTGTTCAGGACACTGGAATAACAGTGCCAAGAGTGGAATGACAGCCCTACGGTGTGCCCGGAGTGTTCAGGAACTGGAATGACAGGGCCATGGATTGGAATGACAGCCCCAGGATGTGCCAGGAGTGTTCAGGCACTGGAATAACAGTGCCAAGAGTGGAATGACAGCCTCAGGGTGTGCCAGGAGTGTTCAGGCACTGGAATAACAGTGCCAAGAGTGGAATGACAGCCTCAGGGTGTGCCAGGAGTGTTCAGGCACTGGAATAACAGTGCCAAGAGTGGAATGACAGCCTCAGGGTGTGCCAGGAGTGTTCAGGCACTGGAATAACAGTGCCAAGAGTGGAATGACAGCCTCAGGGTGTGCCAGGAGTGTTCAGGCACTGGAATAACAGTGCCAAGAGTGGAATGACAGCCTCAGGGTGTGCCAGGAGTGTTCAGGCACTGGAATAACAGTGCCAAGAGTGGAATGACAGCCTCAGGGTGTGCCAGGAGTGTTCAGGCACTGGAATAACAGTGCCAAGAGTGGAATGACAGCCTCAGGGTGTGCCAGGAGTGTTCAGGCACTGGAATAACAGTGCCAAGAGTGGAATGACAGCCTCAGGGTGTGCCAGGAGTGTTCAGGCACTGGAATGACAGGGCCAAGAGTGGAATGACAGTCTGAGGATTCAAAATGCTTCTCCCGTGTGGGTTCTCTGATGCTGTTGAAGAGTAGAACTGTCAATGAATCTCTTTCCACACTCTGAACACTCAAATGGTTTCTCCCTTGTGTGGATTCTTTGGTGGACTTGAAGATGGCCACTCTTATTGAATCTCTTTCCACACTCGGAGCATTCAGAAGGTTTCTCCCCTGTGTGGGTTCTTTGGTGCTTCTGAAGAATGCCACTCCTACTGAATCTCTTTCCACACTCTGAGCATTCATATGGTTTCTCCCCTGTGTGGGTTCTTTGGTGCAGTTGAAGATGGCCACTTCGACTGAATCTCTTTCCACACTCTGAACATTCAAAAGGTTTCTCCCCTGTATGGGTTCTTCGATGCTGTTGAAGAGTGCCACTGTCATTGAATCTCTTTCCGCACACTGAGCATTGAAAAGGTTTCTCCCCTGTGTGTGGTTCTCCGATGTTGTTGAAGAGTGGCACGCTCACTGAATCTCTCTCCATACACTGAGCATTCAAAGGGTTTCTCTCCTGTGTGGGTTCTTTGGTGCACTTGAAGAGTGCCACTCTGACTGAATCTCTTTCCACACTCTGAGCATCCAAAAGGTTTCTCCCCTGTGTGGGTTCTTTGGTGCACTTGAAGAGTGCCACTCTGACTGAATCTCTTTCCACACTCTGAGCATCCAAAAGGTTTCTCCCCTGTGTGGGTTCTTTGGTGCACTTGAAGAGTGCCACTCTGACTGAATCTCTTTCCACACTCTGAGCATCCAAAAGGTTTCTCCCCTGTGTGGGTTCTTTGGTGCACTTGAAGAGTGCCACTCTGACTGAATCTCTTTCCACACTCTGAGCATCCAAAAGGTTTCTCCCCTGTGTGGGTTCTTTGGTGCACTTGAAGAGTGCCACTCTGACTGAATCTCTTTCCACACTCTGAGCATCCAAAAGGTTTCTCCCCTGTGTGGGTTCTTTGGTGCACTTGAAGAGTGCCACTCTGACTGAATCTCTTTCCACACTCTGAGCATCCAAAAGGTTTCTCCCCTGTGTGGGTTCTTTGGTGCACTTGAAGAGTGCCACTCTGACTGAATCTCTTTCCACACTCTGAGCATCCAAAAGGTTTCTCCCCTGTGTGGGTTCTTTGGTGCACTTGAAGAGTGCCACTCTGACTGAATCTCTTTCCACACTCTGAGCATCCAAAAGGTTTCTCCCCTGTGTGGGTTCTTTGGTGCACTTGAAGAGTGCCACTCTGACTGAATCTCTTTCCACACTCTGAGCATCCAAAAGGTTTCTCCCCTGTGTGGGTTCTTTGGTGCACTTGAAGAGTGCCACTCTGACTGAATCTCTTTCCACACTCTGAGCATCCAAAAGGTTTCTCCCCTGTGTGGGTTCTTTGGTGCACTTGAAGAGTGCCACTCTGACTGAATCTCTTTCCACACTCTGAGCATCCAAAAGGTTTCTCCCCTGTGTGGGTTCTTTGGTGCACTTGAAGAGTGCCACTCTGACTGAATCTCTTTCCACACTCTGAGCATCCAAAAGGTTTCTCCCCTGTGTGGGTTCTTTGGTGCACTTGAAGAGTGCCACTCTGACTGAATCTCTTTCCACACTCTGAGCATCCAAAAGGTTTCTCCCCTGTGTGGGTTCTTTGGTGCACTTGAAGAGTGCCACTCTGACTGAATCTCTTTCCACACTCTGAGCATCCAAAAGGTTTCTCCCCTGTGTGGGTTCTTTGGTGCACTTGAAGAGTGCCACTCTGACTGAATCTCTTTCCACACTCTGAGCATCCAAAAGGTTTCTCCCCTGTGTGGGTTCTTTGGTGCACTTGAAGAGTGCCACTCTGACTGAATCTCTTTCCACACTCTGAGCATCCAAAAGGTTTCTCCCCTGTGTGGGTTCTTTGGTGCACTTGAAGAGTGCCACTCTGACTGAATCTCTTTCCACACTCTGAGCATCCAAAAGGTTTCTCCCCTGTGTGGGTTCTTTGGTGCACTTGAAGAGTGCCACTCTGACTGAATCTCTTTCCACACTCTGAGCATCCAAAAGGTTTCTCCCCTGTGTGGGTTCTTTGGTGCACTTGAAGAGTGCCACTCTGACTGAATCTCTTTCCACACTCTGAGCATCCAAAAGGTTTCTCCCCTGTGTGGGTTCTTTGGTGCACTTGAAGAGTGCCACTCTGACTGAATCTCTTTCCACACTCTGAGCATCCAAAAGGTTTCTCCCCTGTGTGGGTTCTTTGGTGCACTTGAAGAGTGCCACTCTGACTGAATCTCTTTCCACACTCTGAGCATCCAAAAGGTTTCTCCCCTGTGTGGGTTCTTTGGTGCACTTGAAGAGTGCCACTCTGACTGAATCTCTTTCCACACTCTGAGCATCCAAAAGGTTTCTCCCCTGTGTGGGTTCTTTGGTGCACTTGAAGAGTGCCACTCTGACTGAATCTCTTTCCACACTCTGAGCATCCAAAAGGTTTCTCCCCTGTGTGGGTTCTTTGGTGCACTTGAAGAGTGCCACTCTGACTGAATCTCTTTCCACACTCTGAGCATCCAAAAGGTTTCTCCCCTGTGTGGGTTCTTTGGTGCACTTGAAGAGTGCCACTCTGACTGAATCTCTTTCCACACTCTGAGCATCCAAAAGGTTTCTCCCCTGTGTGGGTTCTTTGGTGCACTTGAAGAGTGCCACTCTGACTGAATCTCTTTCCACACTCTGAGCATCCAAAAGGTTTCTCCCCTGTGTGGGTTCTTTGGTGCACTTGAAGAGTGCCACTCTGACTGAATCTCTTTCCACACTCTGAGCATCCAAAAGGTTTCTCCCCTGTGTGGGTTCTTTGGTGCACTTGAAGAGTGCCACTCTGACTGAATCTCTTTCCACACTCTGAGCATCCAAAAGGTTTCTCCCCTGTGTGGGTTCTTTGGTGCACTTGAAGAGTGCCACTCTGACTGAATCTCTTTCCACACTCTGAGCATCCAAAAGGTTTCTCCCCTGTGTGGGTTCTTTGGTGCACTTGAAGAGTGCCACTCTGACTGAATCTCTTTCCACACTCTGAGCATCCAAAAGGTTTCTCCCCTGTGTGGGTTCTTTGGTGCACTTGAAGAGTGCCACTCTGACTGAATCTCTTTCCACACTCTGAGCATCCAAAAGGTTTCTCCCCTGTGTGGGTTCTTTGGTGCACTTGAAGAGTGCCACTCTGACTGAATCTCTTTCCACACTCTGAGCATCCAAAAGGTTTCTCCCCTGTGTGGGTTCTTTGGTGCACTTGAAGAGTGCCACTCTGACTGAATCTCTTTCCACACTCTGAGCATCCAAAAGGTTTCTCCCCTGTGTGGGTTCTTTGGTGCACTTGAAGAGTGCCACTCTGACTGAATCTCTTTCCACACTCTGAGCATCCAAAAGGTTTCTCCCCTGTGTGGGTTCTTTGGTGCACTTGAAGAGTGCCACTCTGACTGAATCTCTTTCCACACTCTGAGCATCCAAAAGGTTTCTCCCCTGTGTGGGTTCTTTGGTGCACTTGAAGAGTGCCACTCTGACTGAATCTCTTTCCACACTCTGAGCATTCAAAAGGTTTCTCCCCTGTGTGGGTTCTCTGATGCCGTTGAAGATCATCACTCCCACTAAATTTATTTCCACACTCTGAGCATTGAAAAGGTTTCTTCCCGGCATGAGTTTTTTGGTGCATTTGAAGAGTGCCACTCTCACTGAATCTCCTTCCACACACTGAGCATTCAAAAAAATTCTCCCCTCTCTTTATTGTTTGGTGCACAAGGAGCTGTGATTGATTTCTGAAGTACTTTCCACACTGAATGGATTTACCTGCCTTCATTATTCTGTGCACTGGAAAATGTACATTAAGCCTTCTTCCCTCTTGGTTCTCAACCAAATGGCTGCCTTTCTCTCTCTTAGGTCTCCCTCCATTCTTGACATCTTCTTTCAGGTCTTCATTTGTAACTCTATCTGGCCTTTGCGGATGAAGTTCCTCACCCTCCTCATTCCTCTCATCATCCTCTGCTGAAATAAAGAGACCGTTAGCACCTGGAAGCGCTTGTAAGGTCCAAAGGCATCTATGTGA